TGCGCTCTGCTAGCCTTCTGCCTGTCTGTCCTACATAGTGGTTGTTACAGTCCTTACACTGGATGTTGTAGATGATTCCTATTTTTTCTTTTTGGGCTACTGGGTATTTTGGTTTGACAACATCACCCGCTCTTCTAGATTGCCACTGCCATCACCGCCAAAACTGGCAATCACCTCCTCCATGAAGGCAGTCAGGAAAGCCTCTCCATTGCCACTCCCTCTCTCCTGCCTGCCACCATGCTGAATACTGCCAAACAGCTGATCAGCTTGCAAAGCACAGGCACTGCGGCCCAGCTTCTCCACTGCCAACACCAGATAAATGCTTCTCCGATGCACAGAGCAAAATGAGGGATGAGTGCCATATACCACATGCATCTTTGTTCCCAGTCACCCGAGGGTCTGACAGGATATAAGCTGTGGAGATCCCATGGAAAACAGCTCAGGTCCAGTTGGGGGGAAGTTAGGGGGACACCCCCATTGCCCAGACCAAACATCCAGACCAAACATCCTCACCACAAACTGGCAACAACATTCTGAATCAACTTACAGTCCAGAGTCTGATCAGCAGAGACAACCAATGTTGGCACCATGATGAGAAGAAAGAAAGAGCATCTGATCAGGGACTAATAAGGTACTGCTGATCAATTCTATTTTCCCCGAATTGTCTCCCACCTCACCTTCTGTCATCCCTTCAAGGTAGCCAGGTGAGGAAATAGACTCCACAAGTTTGACTGGAACTCTACTTTATTGAGAAGGGCTACAGTAACACAACTGTAAATGTCTGGCTGTGTTTTCCCTTCCCTTCCTCTCATACCCCAGTGAATAATGGTGGAGCCAGTCTGAGCTTCTTTCCTATGCTTTTTGTTTCCCAGATTTAACATATACTTTTATTTTCTTAACAATTTCTGGATATTTTTTCCAAGGTCATCTCATGGTTCTCTAAACCTTCTCTCCTGCCTTCTACTAAAGGTCCAGCCTGATGTCCTGTCTGTTCGTCCCCCTCTGCCTCCTTCCAGCTGCCCCTCCCCTCTGGCCACTGGCAACTTCCCTCTGCCATTTTGTCTTGCGCTGCAGGAGAGAGGGGTGCCTGGTTTCCACTGGGGCATCTGCCTGTCATGGCTGCCAGGTGCTTTGTGACCCACTTGTTGTATATTAAGTGGGTTCCTTATAAACCCAGCACCTGCTCTTTTCAAAGAATGGAGGATCTGCCTTTAAAGAAAGAAGACTAGTCCTCTCCTGATGAAGCCGTCATCCATGGAAGTGTGTGTGCTTATGGTACGTGCCTCTCTCGCTTGGGCTCTGGGGAGAGGAAGGAGCTGCCTGTAACTTCTCCCCTTTTCTGCCCTTGGAAGATTTCAGATTTCAGATTACAGCACTGGGTACAGTATGGCTCTAACCTGTCACTCTGGTAACTTGATGAGTAGCTAAACACTATATGCAGGTAACTACCTACAGTAAATGAACCCCAACCAACCTTTGCTTAAAGAAAGTGATTAGTGATTGTCTTTCCTGCCAGCCAATGGCACTTGCAGGAAGAGGAAATTAAGCTGGGGGAATCCACCAATGGCTGCTCTTAAATTATCCCATGTGAAACCTGGAAGGACTTGCTGATCAGATTGCTGAAGCAGGATAGGAATCAGGTGTGGAAGCAATGAAATTTAGGCTGGAATACAGTTCTTCCAATTCAAGGAGGGGAGGAATGAGCATGTGGACATGCTTGTGAGAAGGGCCCTAAGCTAGTTTTCAGATTGGGGGTAGAGATTGGGAGAAAATTACACATATTTGTCTTATCCACACACAATTTTTCTTGTTTCTGATTGTCCAGTGATTTCATTCTGCTTTTGCCTACTCCTTTCAATTCTATTCCCCTGCTTCTGTACCATAACTTTGAGGATGCTACTAGATAGGAAGAGCTGTGAAAAGATGCATGTATGGGAAACAATTACCCTTTAAGAGAAGTGAGTGTGGAGGTTTTGAGAACAGGACATGTTGCCTCTCTCCACTGTTTCTTATGAAGGAAGGAAGGCAGGCAGGGAGGCAGGGGGTTCATTTCATCATTGGTAATCCAATCTGGAGCAAGACAGCACCAATGCCATTTATTTGTGTGCTAGAAATCTCCCCCAGATGTTCTTGAAGGCTGCCTTCACATCTTTGTTGCGTAAGCTGTAAATCAAAGGGTTGACCAAAGGGTTAACTACTGTATAGAACAATGCATTTGCCTTGTCCCAACTGGGAGTGTGCTGAGAGTCGGACTTGGAGTACATGATGAGAATGGAGCCATAAAAGAGGGTGACTGAAACCAGGTGAGCCGAACAAGTGAAGAAGGCTTTGCGTCTCCCTGCAGCTGAATGGATGCGAACTATAGCTGCCACAATCCCAATGTAGGAACTCACAATGACAGCTGTGGTTACTACCAAATTACAACCAATAGTAGCTTTCAAGATGATTTCATGCACTCGTGTGTCATCACAGGCCATCTTCACAAGTGGTAGCACATCGCAAAAGTAGTGGTTGATAACATTACTACCACAGAAACGTAGACGGAAGGTGTTTCCAGTGTGTACAATGGAATTAGCAAAGCCTGCTACATAAGCTCCTAGCACCAGCTGGACACAGAGCTTCTTTGGCATGGCAGTGGTGTAAAGGAGTGGGTTGCAGATGGCCACAAAGCGGTCATAGGCCATGAAAGCCAGTAGGAAGCATTCACTGAAGGTTAATCCAGCAGAGAAGAAGAACTGGGCTACGCAACCAGCAAGGGACATGTGGTTGTTCTTGGAGACACAGTCAGACAATATCCGTGGAGTGTAGACTGAGGAGTACCAGACATCTAGAAAGGAAAGGTTGCCCACAAAGAAGTACATGGGTGTGTGCAAGCGGGAGTCTAGGTAGATCAGTGCTATGAGGCCCAGGTTCCCAGTCAGTGTTAGGGTGTAGAAGGCCAAGAACACCACAAAGAAGATTATCTGTAGAAATGGGTCTGTTGTAAACCCAACCAAGACAAAATCAGTAACTAATGTCTGATTGCCTTCCACTTCCATCATTTTCATTAGCATAACCTGTTTACAGAGGAAACAGAAGTCAGAATTTGGGAGTTTTCAGCCCCAGAATAGAGGATTCATGCTACAATTTTGAAGCATATCTTGAAAACCCTCTGACATATTTGATAGGCTGTTGCTAATTTTGCCCCAAACTGATTTTGGTTCTAGCTTTTGAACATTCCATAAATATGTACAGGATGCATGTTTCAATTAGATGTACTCCATGTTTTTTTGCCGAAACTATCCAAAGGGAAGTCTCTTCATGTGGCAGTACCTGACTGACCTCATCCAACTGAGTTTTTGTGGTGAGTATAGGCAACAATTCTCATGTAAAGAAATGCTACAGGAGATCAGTGAATGGGGGACTGAAATTCTGCATGTTTGCAGAAAGAGTTAAATGGCTCAGAGTGTAAACAAGAAAGCAGCTGGAGAGGGGCAGGGAGGGGACTGTGTTTTGGACTGTAATAGGACCTCTGCCTCTGTGCCTGGCCCCCAACTCTGCTGAGGAAGGGCTTCCCTTAGTGAAGCAATTCTAACCCTGCCCGTGGGAAGAGCGCAAGGGGCTGAAACAGATGAGCGATCCTGAGGAGGTGGAGAAAGGAGAGAATCGACTAAGGGCGGGAAGATGAGGGCAGCAGCTTGGCCTCAAGCGAATACAAAGTCAATGTTCTGCAACCTAAGCCAGAGGGCTTCCCCCATTGCTGGGCTTCAGAGACACATCACTGCATTCCATCTTGTGTGCTATAAAGCCATTTTTCAATCAGTACCGTAAACCATCCCGATATTTTTAAAAGCTTATTTTTGTAGGGCCCACACAGGAAAAAAGAAAAGAAAGGATGAAAGATTGCAATGACCCAATAGATAGATAAATTAAGACACACAAAATCTTCCCGGTACGTTTTCTTGGACTGAGATGGAGAAGAAGGTCTCTTGATCACTTGGGGAAAGAAGGAGCAAAGCCCGAGAAGCCCTCTTGCTGCAGCAGAGCACAGGCGAGGGGTGGCCTTCATGGCTGGCAGGGGAGGCATAAAGCTAGCTAAGGCCACTGCCGAGTGGGATGTGATGAGGGAACACTGGATTTGGCTGGGCCTTCCACTGTTGACATAAACCGCAAGTGAAAAGAAAGGGCACGCATAAATACCTGGTCACGTCCGCAGGCCCAGTTTTGCACGTACGAATTTACAGCGATGGATGGAATTTCAGTCTGCAAGAAACGAAACGGGGGGAAATGTTGCATGACCCTTTGATCTCAACTAGAGTTGTATCAGCATCTCCGAAGGCAGGTCGAGAATGGACTCCCTTCTGGAATGATTCAAAATTGGTAACTGTTGAGCAGGAGAAATAAAGTGCACTGTCTAGCCTTATAACTTTAGCTTTAGCTCATAGGAGTAGAGCAAAAACGCTTATAAGCCAGTCCAGTTGTTTCAAATGTTGCAAAAACCAACTGAATGCCATGCACTCTGACCCCCAGAACATTTCCCTAAACATTTCCCGACAAGGAACGGATGTGAATGTTTATGTAAATTTTTGAACGCAGAGGCTTATCTTCCTAAAAAAATTTTTTGCCAGCAATTCATTTCTAGATTCCTATGGCCTTGAAATGCATTTTGATAAAGTCTGCATTTGCATAAATGAACCTGCACTGATCATTCTCCGAACTGGAAATTCTTACTTTATTTATTTTATCTGTTGAGATAAATTCTTTCCAATCAGCTCATCCAAGTTCTTCACTCAGAGGAGACTCCCTCTGCTATACCTCTGTAATTAGCTCATCTGAGGAGCTCGCCCTCCCAAACCTGGCAACTGGCATCAAATTAGTAAGTGAAGATGCTCCCAGCACGCATTCTCAGCCTTGCTTTTTGGCTCATGACTCTCCTTCCCTTAATCTGCTTTGGCAGTATTAATATTGAACTCAGTATTCTGAACACAACCATCAATGTTCTACTATTAATGACATTTGGCTCCAAGTTTAGCTCTTTCATAAGCAATAATTACATTCCGTTAATGTTCTGCTCTTCTACTCTTACTTTAGTATTAGTAGAGAACCAAATACTTCAGTCAAGCATGCTTCACTTAGTTCCCCTCCCCCGATATGCTGAAGCCAGTTCCCAAAGTGCTCATCCAGAGTAGTCTGCTTTTTGGGGAAGGCTATAATGTATCCAGATATCTAAACAAGTCCCTGGGTTGTTTTCATTTGTTCGTGTTTGGTACACTTTTATCTTCTTTCTTTTACATCGCTTACTAAATGGTGCACTAAAGTTGGAGCCATTAAAAGGTGGGGAGATTAATTGTGCAATAAAATTGGGATTTGCATGTTTATTTTTGTTGCTAACATTAATGCCAGTTTTGTTGAGA